AAATGAAATGCAAAGAGCCAGAGATGGAGCGTGGAGGGAGGGAGGGGCAGGAAAGTGTTAAATTAAATAGGGGCATATTTAATAATTAAATATTTTTAAAAGAAAATGTGGAGGAAAAGTTTGACAAGATACAAGAGAACAAACCTGGAGAAACTTTGGCCGGTGGCGCTAATTCAATGAGATGCCATAAAGTTGATGAGACTTGACTTCAGGGATCAATTAAGTAAAAAACTCTTTTTGATTGTGGACGAGCTTGTTTTTTCACAGGTCAGGTGAGATTTTCAACTGAGTGCACTGAAATCACTTATCAAATTTAAATCTTGTACAGAAAAGAGACAATCATATTTGTATGTGAATAAATACATGTTGGCCAAAAACAAAATATAAATGCAACTCTCAATAAAAATTTAACTCTTGATTTATTACATCGTGAGAAATTAACATTCTTTGTTAGACTTAACCTGATTGTCTAATTAGTAAAAAAAAAAAAAAAAAACATCTCACGAACGCTTCAATTTACCGCACATCTGATGTACTGCAACAAATGCAGGGGACAGGATCCGGTTCCTCGGAGAAACGGGCGTCTGTGCGTATTCCCTTTAATTTGCATGTTTATTTCAGAGTTGAGTGAGTTGCTTCTTCATGCCCACGTTGATTTCATGATTGAATTGATTGATGTATATTTTAAAACATGTTTATAATCAATACTCCTTCTCTGTTAAAAATATTTTTAAAAAAATTAAATATTTAAAAATGTAAAATATTTTTTAAGTGTTCCTATTAACAAATGACTTTATATTTATTATAAAATATTAATAGAAGTAAGTATAGAAAAATATGATTAATTTGAATTCATCATTAAAGCAATACTTTGATGAAAACTTGAACTTAGTATGTAAGAATGTGATGTGATTGTAAAATGAAAAAAAATTATATATAGGTATTATGAAACAAACTTATTTACAAATAAATCTAATAAAATTTAAAAACTATAGTCAAGTCTCTAAAAACTTAAATATAATTTGAAATTAGATTTTAAAAACAACAATGATTCTATTAAAAATACATTACATTAATTAAATAATTTATAATTATTTTGTCAGTAATTTACAACTATCATTTCAACCTTTTAAGGCTATAACTTCACATACCTAATAGTTAAATTGATCATACATTATAAGTTTAATATGAATTATATGCAACTATCTTATTAGTAATTTATAAGTATTACTTCAATATTTTTACAACAATGACTTCACATGTCTAATACTCCCTCCAGTCCTATTTATAAAATACTTTCTAGAAGTAATTCTCGATCCAAAATATAAAACATTCTACAATAAGTAAACTAATTTTTTTAATTTTATATTTTCTTAATTAACTTGAAGGCTAATGTAGTTGTATCATTATTTAAAACTAAAAGTAAAAATAAAAATACATATAATTTTTCATAATATCAAGAAAAAGACTAACTTTTCTTAACATATATGAAATGATTTAAAGTGTTTTATAATAATGATTATATGGAGTATTTATATCAATCATGTGTTATTAACAAAATTTAATACTAATTTTTTACAACTATCACATCAATAATTACAAATCACATTTCAATATTTTATAATTATAACTTCAATATTTTAAATATGAATAATATTATTTTTGCATCTCAAATTACACCTGAGTCTCAAAAGATCTGGCTATAATTTTTAAATGTTGTAAGATTTATTTATAAATGATTCTATCTGAAGGGACTTATATGTAATTCATCTTTAGAAAATTATTTGTAATTTGTTTGAAAATTATTCTATCTGAAGAAAATCAAGCATGAAGCCGGTCAAAATCGGTTGCAGTGAGGTCCAAGTAACATCAAACTTATTTAATTTCTTAATTGGGACATGTTATACCCTCAATAAAATTGCAGAACACATTCATCAAAAAATTTGCGGGACATGTTATATCCTCAATAAACCTCGAAATCCACTTACATAAAACCTTGCAAAAAAAAAAAGTTGAAATTTTAAAGCAATGTTAAATTGAAAAGTTACCAAAGCTTTGAAAAATAAAATCATAAAATTAAATGCTTTTTCAAATATTTCCTTTTAACGACATTTGTCACTCAAGAGATTGATGTGAAGGAATGTTGTATATTGTGAAGTCTCATACGTCTTGTCATTTGGCCCTCGGGATATTTTCAGAGTATGTACTCCCTTCATTTTATTTATAAGTCATTTTTATCAACTTCATCAATACCAATACAATAAAAGTACAAGAAATAAAAATAAGTAAAATTTCAAACATGCTCTTATATAACAAATGTAAAAAGTAATATCCTGTTATCTTTTCTCTCTCATGAAGAATAATTTTAAAAATACCTATCAAATATCACTTAAAAAGACGCACCATGACTTATAAATGGGATCAAATAGACATTTTAAAATAGGACTTGTAAATGGGACTGGAGGGAGTAATCCTTAATTCGTAAGACACATTGATTTCGAAACGATGTGTGGTGATAAAATATTTAACTTTTGTTCTGTATAGGAAGTTTCCAAAATCTCTAAATATAGTACCGTTTCTTGAGAATGAATGCGCCATAAAATATACACAAACCCATCAAAATCCACAACACGACTATTTTCTTATGATAAGAAAGCGAGTCATCGATAAATTGTATTTTTATTCCCTGAATTACATTTTTATGACCAAGTAATTCTATGATGGCATCACTATTAGTATTCCCATTCAAACTGCTTTCCCTCTTTTTTGTTATTCCCATGCAAGGTTAATGTCATTATTTTTTTTGAATCAAGCACACGTATCTTTTTATTGGAAGCTGTCCAAGACATAATCAAGCGTCAAATTGAGAATTCATACCTTAGTTAGCTGACATTTGAGGGGCTAATCTCCCCACAAACCTGACCCCTGTCGTTATGTATGTTCGTGTTTGTGTTTTATTTAGGCCTGAGTGTGACAAATGCTAGGATGCCACATATCAATGAGGCCCAAGTCATGCTGTGATGGCCCAGGAACTAAGACTTCGCAAAAAGTAGGCCCATTAGATTCTCGGTTTCAAGATGCACATACAACGACTCACATAGCGAAAGTACAAGAAGACAAATACTAATACTCCGTACCAAAAAAAGAAAGTGAATATGTTGCATCAAGGAATATATATACAGTCCCAGCTCATCTGGGTGCTGTACTCTTCTTAATCTCGCCCATTAGTACTCTGTCTTGTTAACAGGGGAGGTTAAAAGACCGACGCGAATATATTCAGGATGATTTATCTAGTGGGGGCTAAGTGTCAGTTGCTTGTTGATCATTCCATTTTTAAGTAAGGATGATATAAATATGTCATGTCACATTCTTGATACTGACACATATTTACAATATGTTTGGTTTTGTTAAGTTGTTATACTTTTATTATCTTCGACTGCGTGTCTTGTTTGCATTTGTGAAAGGGCCAACTATGATAATAGGATTCCCAATGAGTCGTAGGCTTGTAGCCTATTTAAATAACTAAACACTGATATAGACGTCACATTTTAGGATTCAAGCCACTTTAATAGTATAATGTACTATGGTGAGAATCGAATTCGATGGACTAGTTCCATCTGTTGAACCGAAACTGGTCACATGTTCAATTACAAAATGTATAGATTTACTTGTCAATGGAGTCTGTGAGATTGGTTTTGATGTTACTTTGATTCCATCTATACCTAATAATTGCTTAGATATAGTTAGAGAGAAATTTGGTCGTTTCTATGATCGGCATGGCCAATAAAGCCTAACTCTACTCTTTCATAACTCAATCTTTGATGCTCCTTCAATTAAAAAGAAAAAAAAGAAAGTACAATTAACTTCAATTAATAAAATTCAACCATATACACATTTAAAGTTTTTAAACTATTAGTGAATGATTTTTTTGTCAGCCTTAAACGATGAGTGCATGATTCTAACATGTTATATCCGTTCAAAAATATAAAATAATTTTTAATAAGTTGAATATTAAAAAATATAAAATATTTTTAATTTTTTAAAGTGTAATTATTATTATTTTTAAAAAATTTATTAAACAAATTATTTTATATTTTTTAAGGTGTAAATAAAAATAAATATAAAAAGATAAGCTTAATTTAAAGAAAAAAATACTTTATTAAAGAGTAAAATTTAATTAAAAATATTTTATATTTGTTAATGAAGAGAATATGAACTATACATATTTATACTTAGTAACTTAAAACATTGATTTATATTAATATCTCTCCATAATAAAATTTATAATAATTAATTATATCATTCATAGGCTGTATTGTTCATATTTAAAAATTTTCAATTTATGAAAAAACATGTATAATGATATTCAAAACTTTTTGACGATTTCTATGCAGACGACCCTATAAGAAATTATATGATTTAGCCATTTAGATGTACTATCATTACTAGCACGTGTCTTGTTGTGCAGAAAGCTTGTGGACCAAATAAGATAATTATTAACAAATAATTATTATTCTCACCATTTAAAAATATAAAATATTTTTAATCTTTTAAAATGTAATCATTATTTTTGTATGAAAGTATCTTTATTAATAATAATTTTATATTTATTATAAAGTATTTAATAAAAATAAATATAAAAAATTAATTTAAAAATAAATAATTATTTTATTAAAAATAAAATTTAATAAAAAATATTTTTTATTTTACAATAAAGAGATTAATTATTAATAATCATAATGTACTTTAGCCATGCCGCTCCGTGACTCCGTCAAGCATGACTGCGAGCGCAGAACACGATCGTGGTGTTTTTCGTCATTTTGTTATCGCTGCCAAACGAACGCGACAGTCTGCGATAACATCCCCAAACCCAATCGTAACCGTCCACAGGATTATTAATCTGACGGTAAATGTTATGGATCCCCGTACTTCAATCTCATTGGTCAAAACAAAGTCCAACCTACTATATATTACAGGAGCGGTTCCTTCTCCCATCTTCATTCGTCTTTCTTCCCCGTCTCACTTTGCGAAGCCTTAGTTTTACATCTCCCTGTGGCCCAACAATCTCTGCAATCGTAAAGCTCATCGATGGCGGGTCGAGGGAAAACCTTAGGATCTGGTGCTTCGAAGAAGGCTACGTCACGAAGTAGCAAAGCCGGCCTGCAATTCCCTGTCGGTCGTATCGCACGATTCTTGAAGGCTGGAAAATACGCCGAGCGAGTCGGTGCCGGTGCTCCCGTTTATCTCGCCGCTGTTCTTGAGTATCTCGCTGCCGAGGTAAATTGTCTTCATCAGTTGCTGATTTGTATTGTCTTGGTCTTTGTATATACGTAGTTGTGCGCCTCATTAGATCTAGGGTTTCTAATTTGGATCTAAATTTCCCAAATTTGCTTGAATTTTGGGAGTCTTGCGATTTTTTCTCTTGATTTCAAATCTTAAATCTTACGTTTAAATTGGAATTTTACTGGATTCGGCCTGATGATGTATATCTGGAATTCAGGTCCTTGAGTTGGCAGGAAACGCTGCAAGAGATAACAAGAAGACTCGTATTGTTCCTCGCCATATTCAACTGGCGGTCAGGAACGATGAAGAGCTCAGCAAGCTTCTGGGGGATGTGACGATTGCAAACGGAGGTGTGATGCCCAATATTCACAACCTACTGCTCCCCAAGAAGACGGGAGGCTCATCGAAGGGCGCTGGTGGTGACGATGACTCTTAAATTTAAGGCTTGAGAAGCTCTCGCCCTTGGTTTTACGTGATTCACTATCTAATGTAGTTTCAATTTTATATTTCTTACTTTGAGATGGGGATTGGTCCTTTGTGCTCTGTCGACTTAGTTGTAGCTTTAGCTAGGGCTTCTGATTGTAATGTGAATAGAAATTATCTTATGATTCCTTCAACCAAGAGATTGCTGAAATTTTATTTACGCCCCTTCCTTTCCGATGTAGCCTTCATACCTATTTAGCAGTGAAACTTTAAAATGTCTGAACTCTGAAACCTTTGTCCTTGCCTTCAAACTTCTATGAAAAGTTTAGAGTAACTAGTTTTTGGTCTCAATTTTTGATCCTTGGTGAGCTCTGAACTCTCGAATTGAAGGAATTAGTTTCTTTTGTGTGTGTGTTTAATTAATGCTTTCTGCCTGAAAGGTATAATTTACTGGTCATTTCCTATGAATGTGTGTTACGGGTTACAGGGGGTATGGGAGTCAATTTCTAACGGTCGTTTGGAGACTATGCATATGTTGCATTTTGGCTTCGCTTTTCCTTTTTTTTTTTCTTGTCTTGTGGTCCAATTTTATGGAGTAGAATAAACTGTAATTCAATTCGAGACTGGTTTGAAACTTTGAAATGTGGCAAACTTTGGCGCCTTGAGGATGGAATGGTGGTGAGGCAAAGAGAGATGGGGCATGTAATAGTTTCTTGGGTGAAAAGATAACCTTTTTTCGAACTTGCGATTGTATGGGTTTAGTGAGTTTTAATGAATAAATCTTCGTATAGACATAATAGGACTGTTCGTTAGTCTTCATGTGAATTGCTTATTTTAAACTGTTTACTTCATTAGTTGGGAAAATGTTGCCTGCAGTTTGGACTTATCTTGATTGCCTAATTGGTTTGGTGCTGCCGTGGTGTGCGATCTCATTTCTTTTCTACCAAGCCATTCTTGTTATGGAGACTTGAAATTTTTATGTCAAGTCATTAGTTATGAATAATGGTATCGTTGGTGGGGAGCTAATACTTATTACTTTCTCTGGCCTTATTTTGAAAATCCATGCATGTGCTCTACAAAAATTGATGATTCATAGTTCATCTTTGAAATGGCTTTCACTTTTGATGTTTTCATTCTCTACGTCTCTTGGGGCGGAACCCGGGGGTTAATTCTATAATATTTAACTATATATGGATTGAGTTATTTAATTCTTTTTAGTAATAATTAAAAATAATTTTACAATAGAATTGAAAAAATTTATAAGATAACAAAATCATTTATATAAGATTTAAAAATCAACAAAAAAGCTTTGCAAAGTAAATAAAAAACTCACGCTAAAAAAATTAAAAGAAATTAGTCATGTATTTATTTTTTTTATCTACTAATTCTTTTAAAGATTTTTTATTTATAAATTATTTTTAATATGTTTTATAGAAATTAAAAAAATTTTAAAACTTACTTTATTTAAAAATTTAATAGGCTTTAAATTTTATTTTAATTAAATATACATATTTTAATAATATAACTTATTTCTCTAACATTTAATAAAGAGTAAAAAAAATTTGTAACAAAAATTTATTGATATGGTTTGTAAATAGAATATAAATACTTATTTTTTTATTTTATAACTGAAAAGACTATGTACAAGCAAGTTTAGGGATTAAAAAATAAAGAACATATACTTACATAAAAAAAGGAGAATAAAAAAAGCATAGTAAAATATGGTATAAAGTAAAAGTTAAAAGATTGAGGGCACTAATTTTTTTCATATAAAGTCACCTCATAACTTGATAAAACATTTTTTGTTAAAAAAATTTTGGGGTGGGGGTGGGGGCGCTACCTAGGTCCCCCTTTGTCTCTCTCTAGTTTCCAGTACCAATCAAATTGTTATTTTAGAAAGTTGTTGAAACATTTTGCTTTTAACTATTTTTTAATTTTATAAACATTGTCAAAAAATAAAATTAGTCATATGGATCAGCTTGTGGGTTGCGGGTTTAGTGATATTGGTTGGCATAACTTACATTATGACAGGTTGTATTTCTATTAACCCTTTAATGCATAGCTCGGTTGGCAGGCTACCAGGTTAACTTGCTAATAAAACATTTTTTTTTATATTCTATTTAATTTTGACTCTTTTCATTATTTTTTCAATGGTAAAAAAATTATATTTTTTCCTACAAACTAATTATCCAAATAATAATATAAATTATTAAAACCACAATATAAATTTAAAACACACTAATACAATTTAAAATAAATATATACTATACTACAAACAAACATAATAAAAAGTTTAAATTACAATCCAAAGATTGAAATGATGATAAAAAAGACAGACATGTTAGAACTATGATGTCCCTTCCCTTCCAACATTAATAATAGTAGTTGAAGACCATGATAATCCCACATATTTATAATCACTGAACAAAGAATATATAAATATTTTTTTCTTTTATTATCTTCAGATCAAAATTTTCTTCCACTCTCTAATTTAATATTTTATAAAATTTTTATTATAATTCTACATAAAATATATAAATAAAATTGAAGTGTTAAAATTTTATTTGAATGATTTAAAACTATAATGAAAATTTGAAAGTATAAAATTAATTTATAAAATATTTTAATAATAGTTTACAGTTTTAATTAAATTAACTATATCAAAATTTAATGGTTTAAATTTAATTATATATTTTAATAGAAGTTCTAACAGTAATTTTATAAAATATTAGATCATAAAAAAAGATTTTTTTTATAGAATAGGAAGAAACATAATTTAACAACCTTGTAAGGTACTTGTAGCACATGCATGATATTATGTGGAAGAGATTAGAGCCTCCAATGGAGTATCTATGAATTATGAATACTTGTTATAAATATCACAATATATGAATGTTCGTAAACTCTCAACTTTTGGCTTTTCATATTTTACACTACAAAATCTTTATAACAAATGATTTTAAGAGTTTCTCTTATATTTAATTCTCATAAACTCTGATTACATATTCTATATTGATGTGAATTAATTTTATCATTTAATCTATTATAATTTTTGAATATGTTTGGTGCATATAAACAAGGGTTATGTACCGTACATTTAAGATACTTATATGAATGACTATTACTCTTTGTCTCTCTCCAAATCTCCCTTGTCTTGTTTATTTTTTCCATCTCATTCTCTTATATTCTTACTTTCATAGCAATATCAATGATTTTGTGGTAGATTTTCCAGTGGAAGGAGTCATCTTGCCCTTGGAAGGAAAATCGAGAGATGTAACTCCCGTGAGTGGCCTTGAATTCACTGGCCCACATGAGAGATCTACGTGTCCGTAGAATGTGATTTATCATAAGATAGACAGGACAGCATTTATGGCGCGCACGTACAGGCGCACTCACACACTCTAATTCTACCCAAGCACTCATCCAATCATATATATTAATCACTTCCTCAGAACATAATTTAATTCATTTTATAAATTATTAGTTAATAAAATTATTTTATTTTAAATTAAAATTTTTAAATTACTCTTAAAAAGTAAGAAAATATAAAAAAAATAATATTATATTATTTGTTAGTTTTTTGCTTTTTTTCAGGGTTATATTTAAAATTGAAAAAATTAATCTTTTAATCCTTCAACTTTTAACTCACTTGTAACTCAATCCTTTAATAATGACTCATTGTGACTCAGTTCCTCAACTTTTGATTCACCTATAATTCGATCCTTATTTTTTAAGTTTTTTTAAAAAAATTTTTGTCAAACAAGAGGAATAAAAAATGCTCATATATATTATTCTAAAATACCCTCCTCTTGCTTATTGATGTGAGATATAAGCTAACATAAAAAAATTAACAAAAGTTCAAGGATTAATTTGTAAGTAATTCAAAAGTTGAGGGACTGAATCATAGACAAGTTATAGTTGAGAAATTAAGTTACAGCGAATCATAGTTGATGAACTGAGTTATAAGTAAATAAAAGTTGAAGGACTAAAAGATTAATTTTTTCTTTAAAATTTCACTTACTTTTATTCCTTATACTTTTGTTGTAGTGATATTGATAAGATTGATAAAAATGACTTATACATAAAATCAAAGGGAGTACACGTTAATTTTTTTGATATGGAGTTTTTTTTTAGGAAGAATTACAGCCAACCCCCTCTCAAGAGAATTTATCACGAACAAGGATAAATTCAAAATGGATTGTTGTTAAAATATGAAATATGACTTGTTGTTTCTCGAATGAGATTTGTTGTTGATCTTTGTCCGTAATTAGTTTTTTTGAGAGGGGGTTGATTGTAATTTTCTCTTTTTTTTAATGTTATTTTGCATAAAGTGGATCATTAATTGTTTTTTTTAATTTTATCCTTTTACAATTTTTTGAGTATGGAGTAGAGTAAGAAATTACATGAGAAAAAATATTTTTAAAGATGATATATTTAATAAAAATAAATTAAAAATTTTATTTTTTTTCAGACAATATTAATAATTTAATTATTTTTTGTAATTATGATGAGGTCGTGAAAAATGAGTTATGTATAATAGTACTAGTAGCATATGCTAAGTATTTAGTTTGAGAACAGTGTCTAACTCGTCGTAAAAATGGGCATTCACAAAATTTGTGTTGGAATCTGAATCACACTGCCATTCATGAATGGTGATGATGGCTTTATGTATCAATTGGATGCTATATTTGTCGTCCGCAGATAATGATAACTTAATGAGGATTTCATTTTTTGTTTGGTCTTCGGATGCATGCAACATTTTCTAGTCATGAATGATAAGGCTGTTGATATCATAGAGAGGATCGTGAGCTTACATGGACTCTTAAACGGTATGGATATAACTCTGATGATTGTAGATGTTACCTATGATGTGATTGCCGTGTTATTTATAACTGTCATGTAAGATTTGGTTGTCATGTATGATACCATCATAGATACTCACTCGGATGTCATGCTGTACGCCACGGAGGACGATGCCTTTGCTCACATCACAGAATTGTGATCTCAATTTTTCTTGATTTCTATTAATTATTTTTTGTATCATAGTTTGGCTCACTTGTTGCCCCTTAGACCCTCCAACACGAGTTGGACCCATAAGACTAACTCTTTAGGTCCATTAAAAATTGAAGGCTGAAGGAGAATACAATTATTATACTCCATAATTTTATTAAATTTTGTTTTATTTCTTATAATTTTTTTCAATATTTTTAATTCTTATAAGGATTAAAAATATTGAAATTATAGGAATCTCAATAAAAAATGTCAATCAATCTTGTTATAACTATAGCAGTTGAAAATATTGAAAAAATTATAAGAATTAAAAATAAAACTCAATAAAATTATTGAGACAAATGATTATGTTTTTCTTTAAAAAATATGAGGGATTTTAATATAAGAAAGCTTTTAGGCCCAACTGTTAAAAACTCATGAAAAATAGACTTGGGCTGGCTTGTATAATATTTTTTAGCAAAAAAGACAACAACACATAGCTTTGAAGACTAAAGAATATTTACAATTTGAACTGTAGACAATTTGCACTTATATGATTTATATTATATTTTGGGGTTTCTATTGCTTTTTTTTTTTTCCTTGCACATTCGATATTCTAAGCAGACCATCTGTTAAGTACAACAACGAGCCAAACTAATCCGAATTCGCCCATGGTCAGGCACCTCAAAAGGCAGGAGAGCTAGCCAGAAGACATATTTCCATATCCAAGTAAGGATTGAACCCCTAACACTTGGTTAAGGGAGGATGAACCTTTATTACTCAACCACATGCCCTTGGTTTGGGGTTTATATTGTTTTGATTATACTTGAAAGCTTATTGTTGTCCTTTATATGTTTATTAATTACGATACCTTACGGTTTATATGTTTATTAAAAAAAGTTATACAAGCTTTCAGGCTGAATTCAAGTCCTATGAATAAAAGCCGGGTTTGAGAAAAACTTTGATTTTAAGATAAAAAGATCTATGGGCTTTGAGTTCTTCAGATTGTGTGCCAGTCGCTTTCTCTTATTTAACATAGCCCTAGTTGCCATCCACAGTTTGCAATTTTGTTTAGATGTAATCCCTCTATTTATTTAATATTAAAAAAAAAGATGCTCTCTTTGTGGATCCTTTTTTTGTTTCTAAATATACCATCTTTTACAGACTACAACTTCAATACAATATTTATTAGTCATCGGGTGAGATCTGGAAAGAGTATAATTTTATATATTAAAAAAAAGGTATTTGTTATATGTGTGTCAAAAGTGTGTGTGTGTTACAGTCCCACATTGACTAAAAAAAAGATTCTCCTAGTGTATATATACGAAGGAATGAAGTAGGCTAGTAAAATAAGTTTGGAGGAGAAGTGGTCTCACGCATATGAGACATGCCAACACAGGACAATTGCAATTGAAATCAGCTGATTCACTCCCTTTGCATGCGAGTTCAAGAGGTATTGGGTTCCTTTTACTGGGTTATTTTTACAAAAATAATTAAATAAATAATTATTTTTAGCTTACCCCGAAAACCTCTGATTTTGCTGTTTTGAATTTGAACTCGAGGCCTTGGCAGTTTTTGGACATTAAACTTCTCCTGAAAATCAATTTTATGGGGTTAATGTCTTAAACATTTTGTTTGCCAAACGTCTCGTGTGTAACTGAAGTATTAATCCATGAACATTTTGTTGTTTAATGTGTGAAGCATTAATCCATGAACGTTTTGTTGTTTAATGTGTGTGTAACCAAAGCATTAATCGGTGATTATGACCCAGCGTTTGTGTCTCCATCTTCGGACTATATATAGCCCCTAGGAGTTGACAGAAAGTGAACAAGCCTCTTGAGTTTTCAAGGTTCTCTCCTCATCCCATATTCGTTGCTTCGTCGCAGGAAGTGCTTGTTTAATCTTAGGGAACTGTCGGTCCATCGTCCAGGTGTGCCGAAGTAGTTCTTAAGGACAGTGTCCTTCCGAACATAACTCAAGCAGTTTGAAGTTCGCTATTCACGTTTGCCGCTGGTGGCGCCTACAGTATTCACCTAATATTAAACGAAATGCATCAGCATAACTCACATTTTTAATAAAATTGAATGAAGGCAGGTTTGTGAAATAATTATCGCTTTTTTTAAGACTAAAGTTATTAATTACCTTTGACTATGCTCCATGATCTACATAATTCAGTTAAAAGAGTTCTATATATTTAGAACGTTGGGAGTATAATCCATGTACTTAATAAAAATTTTAAATTTTTTAGGAGATAATTTCCTGTAGGATAAATTTTTCTGTATCTAGATCTCATACTGTCATACCCATGTGCTAACAACAAACCTGGAATTTAATTTTTGTAAAATAAAATTTTGAATGAAAATAAAATAATATAATGTCAACAAAAAATTAATTCAGTTGATTAAAAGTTGACATATATCACACGAAGATGAATTCAGATCTACTGGTAGATAATCTATTAATGTTTTTATAAGTATTATTTGGGTGGTGAGGTATATTCTAATTTTGGCGGTCTCAAAAAACCCAACTTGGCTAAATTTTGTAACAAAAGGGAGTAAAATTGTATAATACAAATTAGTAACTTTGAAAAATGGGACAAAAATTATATCCCAGCTGTAAGGGGAAAAACATCCATTGATTAAAAAAAATTGATTATACTATCATTCTACATCCTTCCTTTTCGGAGACACAACATATCAACAATAAAAAGAATTGTGTATGAACAATAATGAAGACTACCGAACTACTGATCCCGAAGATGGCTTCTTGTTGTTGTAAACCAGGAAGCTAATCCCAACAGGGATTTTCGTCTTCCATTAGTGAACGATATTAGTGGTTATTGCCTGGCCTGATGTCAGCTCCTGTGAGGTCAGTTACTGTACATGTAGTTATGAACATTATTTTTACGTTGAGAGTGCCACTTCCAAAGCTTGACAAAGGATACCCGTTCAAATCTTTAATATGGAGGTGGTACCAAAATTATGGCCTAAAATTCTATGGACTCTCATCATCTGAACTAAAGTCATCCATCCTCCTATCTGATAGTCCTGAAAGAAGCTGCTTATTCTTCGGTGGTGGGCGAGTGTCAGAAGGAGGAGCCTTAGAAGTCTCTTGTTTAGGAGCCATCCCCGCGGCGGCGGCGGCGGCCGTCTTCTTCTGTTCAACTCCAACCTCCTTGCATACCTTATCCAGTATGACCAAGAAGTCTCGTACGATCACAAACAGTCGCAACCCTTCATCCCTCCCACTGTTCCCATGGAAGTAGTCACCTGTACTCTTCACCAAAGCTGTGATCCTCTTCTCTTCTTCCAGCAGACTCATTATAGTACCTTCAGCATTCTCCACAAAACTCTCCACTGTCTGATAAAACCCTCCTCTACTTTGTTCATCTAACTCCTTAAGGTCTCTGTTGTAGAACTCTTTGATTTTCAAGAGAGAATACCCAAGTCTTGCAGTGGTTCCTGTTAAAGCATCAGCATCTAAAGCTGCTGCTTTCTTCACATTCTCAAGCTCACTGCTCAATCGTGATACCACCTGAAGACCGAGTTCACGATACCGCTCTTCAGATTCAGTGGAGACTTCCTCGAACAGGTCATCTGTTTTAATGCTAGAGAAACTCTTGCTCTCTTTGGCCCCACGAACTGCTCGTATGCCCTCAGATCGGATTATCTCTTTAACAACAAAGTGTAAGAGTGTAGTTTTGCCATCTACTCCTTTAACATCAGACAATTTAAGGAGCGTATCAAGTTTAAATGCTTGTGCACCACCACGGAATGTTCCATCATTCATACGGTTACCAGTTTTGAGAACAGCTTCTAGAAGCTTCAGGAACAGCCGGCTTCCTTTTAGTTCTCCGCTAGCAACCTAACATATCAGATGAAGGTGAGTTGAGAAGTTTCAAACGAAGGGGATTTTACTCAGTGATTGTGTATAAATTATCATCAGCTGGCATAGAACTTCCAAAATACCCAGTAAAGAGCACAGCTAATAAATTCAACATGTAAGGTAAGGAGTCATAAAATAAAGATATCCTACCTGTAAAACAGCAAAGGCATCCCTGGTGAAGGTGAGCTCCTCTTTAAGAGTACCCATAAAAAGAAGTGATTCCAGTCGTTTAAATGCAAATGGAATATCAACAAGGGCCTTTAGGAACCGGTCAGCAGGCCCAAGTTGAGACAGGTTGCCACTGAAAAGTCTAAGCTTAAGTTCCTCCTCAGATGTGGGTGACATCTTGAGCAAGGATTGGATAAATTCTGGGGGAAGCTCATTTCCTGATCATCCGAACAGAAGTTACAAAACTTTCTTTATACAAGTAGAAGCGAACACATTCTATTGTAATCATGTTTTTCGTGCTTCCATGTATTACTTTTCCTGATAGATAAACTTTTGTCAACTTACCACTCAGAAAAGTTTTAAAGAAAACAATGATTTTTGTTTGGTCAATATTATAGTAGTTATCTATGTTACTGAAAATAAACTATGCATGTAAAAGGCAAAATTAACTTCACAGAAGCGCACCATGCTTACAATCTACAGACGTATTTCTCATGGAAAAAGTCAGTAGTAATGTGGCTGCGTTCTCATGAATATATGTCATTGGTCAAACAAGGAAGGTAGATTTACCGGATGCCTAGCAGCATAAATTACTACGGCAAAAAGACAAATCGGAAAAAAAAAAATCATACTTTTGAACAACTAAAATACAAAGAGTTATATAACCACAAAGAATTCACCGATTTTAAGTTTTCACAGATGTGAGGACAAGTTTAGCTGTAGAACTCCTCCCTATTATGCTATACCAGCGTTGGAGATCTCCATATATTTGAACCGCTCACCAGAATTTTCGCACACTTAACGTCAAAGAATTTCCACATGTACCTAAAACTCTTAAATTGTTATCTAAACTCAGATTAATCTACTTCTATTGTAATCTATTTGTAGAATCTCATATCTTAAATAATCATAATGATAGCATAAATGCGATGGCCTATCCTCTTCAGCGGGGAATGATGCATGGTTTCAAGACTGCACATCATAGCAGCATACTAGCACAACTTGGGGTACTAAAGTTCTGACTTCTAATATCTGGCATCAAGACTAGAAATACTAATTCTGTAATAAGGAGCTTATGGTGTCAATTGTTAACTTTTACAGTCCAACACATCACAAAACTACAGAAAGCTTGTGTGCGTCATCCAGGAAAACTTAGCATTATTCTTGCTAGATCAATAAATCTTGAGGGAATATTAAAAGTTCAAAGTAAAACACCTTCACGAAGTGCATCACAAACTTCTTCCATGGTCACATTCAAAGCTCGCAATAAAATTGACAGATTTTGTGCTTTCTTTGAGTCAATGATCTGGATAAACTGAGGTGCCTGTTCCATGGAGGCAGATCTTTTCTTGGCTTGACTTTTGCTTTTATCTGTATTGGTATAGCCAAAAAGTGTCTCCATCATTTCTTCGTCAACCCTGTCAAAGTATTTTCCATTAAAACATTAGCAGCTAGTGTTAACTCATTAATCATGAGCAACAAAAAAGTTCATGATTTATTTATTCCTTACTGGAATGATCCTGCTTTAAGCTGATTCCAAACCATTGTTTGATCTGAGTTGGCTTGAACCTTATCCCAAAAAAAGGGTTTTAATTTGGCTTTAGTAGCACCACCTTCTGAATCAGCAGCTCCTCCAGATTCTGCGGCTCTTGACTTCTTCTGTATAACTAAAGGGCGTGGACCCTTTACACCACCAATTGGTGGAGGTGGTCGAGGAGGACCTTTACCACTCTGAGGAGGTGGTGGTGGTGGTGCACCAGCACCTTTTCTGGCACCAGGTAGTGCTGGAGGTGGTGGAGGAGGAGGTCCAGCAGCAGTTTTGGGTGGCTGTGGAGGTGCTGGAGGAGGAGGAGGAGGAGGAGTATTGGAATTACCAGAAGGAAGCTCAGGGGGAAGGAGATCTGGCCTTCCAGGTGGAGGTTTCAAAGGGCTGATTCCCACCCTGCCAGGAGGAGGCTTCAGGTCAAATGATGGTCTGGCAGCAGCATCTGTACCAGCAAATGCTGGTGAAGGAGTTTCCTGCACATCAGATCCAACGGGAAAATTGCCGTTAAGACATGAGGTCCTTTTGTGGTCAATTGAATTATTATCATGTGAATGAAACCCAAATTTCTGATATCTTACTGAATTTCCAGAAGCAAAATGGGGAGAAGAAGAACCTGAAATGCCAAAGTCAAATTTATCAAGACTTCAACATTGTGCAAGAACTGTTCATTTTATTAGAGTTATAGGTATTAATGCTGTTAATATACTTTGGCAAGCAATCTAATTTTGTTTTTGGTCAGAGCTATGTAATCTAGCTAGCGTTAAATTATGGTTGACTTCCATCCTAAATTACGGCATAATAATTGCTTATTTTTCAAAAATATGAATAACAGCATTACTCAACGTTTCAGTACTGAGTACGTTAATATTTCTGCGCAGACAGAAACATCAGATGATATGTACCTGTAGAAGAGTAGTCACTCCTGCTCACACTGAGAAGGGGCCTCTCGTCATATTTTCTAACTTGGCTTTTGCCAGCACAACAGCAACACAAAACACAGAGCAGTACCACTAGTAGCGTCACTGATGCGCCAGCTGCGGCAACAGCAATTATAACCATGTTATTATCACTTTTCTTTTTCTTCTTTTTATATTTTTTCTTATCTGCATGTCCTTCGGATTTAGATTTATCTTTAGCATACATCACCGGTGCGGGAGGTCCCCTTTTTGAAGTTAAAGATCCAGATTTCTTTGGCAGTGGAGATTGTGGTTCTTGAGTGTGGATATATGATTTAACTGCATGGCCAGGGCCAGGACTTGGTGGTTTTGATACATGTTGAGACAAGCCCAGACCCAGATTTCTTCTAGGATCATTGGATCTGGAATCATCATCTTCATCACCGGATACACTTCGGAGTGGAAGATTATTCTTTCTCAAACAGTGAAGAAAGATTTGCTTCAACTGAGGATGGCAAGCATTAATCAATTTTTGAATGTTTTCTTGTGCCAAAAATTGAGTCTCTGAACCAATATCATTGGTGCAACTGGATGATAATTCAGGTGGAAAGCATAAGTCATGATTTCTAACTTCTTCCTTCAATTGAATCAAATCCACAGAGCAAGTGGACCGTAATTGCTGTACCTACAGTCAAGAAACTATAGCTAGTTTTAGGGTCTGCCTACCAATTCTTAGAACAATGGTCCCTCCCTTAACACTGTTCCCTCATCCCTCAAATGATGAAAGCATGAAAGCAATCGAAGCCCTGTAAATTTAGTGGCAATCAAGCACATGGCCTTTGGAATAATTACTTAAAACATTAGAAACTTATCTTTGTGTAAGTCAAGAGTCCATGGTCATGCAAATCTTGTAGAAAGCAATTGACTTTGAGTCAAATCTGGTTCAAGCAGAAGCGTATATGCATTAACTGATTATATTAGATTTTTGCTGTATAAGAGTAGTTCTGTGTCCTTAAGTTTTATGTCTCGATAGGCAAATTGTTGAGTCCATCTGTTGGCTAATCATGCTATGGATTTGATTGGTAATTTTCACTCTTGATCAACCTCCATCTCACTGTAGGGAGGTGCATGAATGATGATAAAAAGCGGCCATCTACTTTGAGTTAATTGCATCATTTTTTGCATTAATGCTGTCACTTTTTTGAATTAAAAAAAAAAAAGATGATGCTATCTTTCCAATTTAACTCGCACAAGCATACAGAATTGCAAGGCGCATGGTATGCCACAAAGATCATCTGACATACTATCCAATAAATAGCACGTTCTCATCCAGAATGAAATTAAATTTTATTTTGGAATACCGAGCGAAAATCTTGATTATTAAAACAGAGTCGATAGAACTACAAGAAAGAAAACTGTAAATCAAATAATATTTAAAAATATCCAGATATTGAAAGAAGGGAAATATTTAGCTATTGTCCCTGCAAACAGCAATTAGAGCTAGTTATAGATGTGTGTGACTTGGTATTAGTTTAGGTACTAATTAAGGCCTCAACATAAAAAGAAAAGCCTCCACCAATTATCTTGATTGATGTCCAGAGGAATTTAAGCACAGGAATCATAATAATAGGCTGCTTCAATGATCCTCTTCATATGATCTGAAAGCATCCATACAATTTCACCCATCTCATATTGGAGAAGTAGGATCTTCTAGTCTCTGTGCTGCTTAAAAGCTAACTTAATGTGTCAACTAATGGCACTCCCTTGAATTGGTAAGAAAAGTCTGAAATACTTTATGTAATCTGAAGCCTTAAGTAACTTCCGCTCATTCAATATCACTGGGTGACAGTTTTTAGCTCGCAAAAATTTTTACGGCCACCATACAACTGAGGGTACGGGCCCAGAAGGTTGTCTTTTTTCCTTTTCACTTCACCAGGAACGGTGGTTATAAGATGGCAAATTTGCCAAAGACTATGACTAGCAATTCGCTGAAAAGGATGTAGGGAAGTCTAAGAATAACCGGGATGGTCAAATGAAACTAATGACAGGCCGAGACAATAAAGGTGAGAGCCACAAAATTCACGGCAATCTCGAAAGACTAGTGAATCCCATCATCCTATAAAGCGTAATGGGGCCAATCCATTGTCAACGGTTAAGATTACAGAGACAAGACTTTTGGGGAAGAAAAAAACGCAACTTGTCATTTATATGTGTTCTTGCAACCATTATTTTCACTGTCAAGTCACTCAAATCAAAACCTCAAATAAGTGCATGCCGCTGCTAAGGAAAACAACAAAAACGAAACATAATCCATATATAATGATACTAAAAATAGTAATATAAAGTTTTTGCATGCCCGTACATTTGCATCACTTTTTAAAAATTTAATTGAAGTTAATCTTCTGCCATTCGCTTTATTTTCGTGTTCAAACGAATGCATACTTTTATGGTAAGGGAGACTTCTCTTCAACAATTTCAATTGAATTCTTCTCAAGATCACTAAGGAATAAACTTTTAAATGCATCTCGGAGAAAACATAGCTGGGACGAAGTATTATGGCACACGTAAAACAAAACATAAGAATTAAAATGGGGAAAAGAAGAGGCATAGAAGAATTTGAACTAACAGGGCACCCGGATCTGTATAATAAATAAGTGAAAAGGTCTCACCGTATCCTCGTCCAACAATCCAGACGTGGGATCAAGCAGCTGGCAAAGGAAGTCTTCCTGTGTTTCCTCCGAATCTTTTGAACAACCTGATGTCGTGAGAAGAACCAACAGAATGCAGAAGCTAGCCTTTGAAATAATAATCATCATTCCAATTTCTTAATTTGCTTCTCATTTCACAAAACGAGCCAACAACTGAAGCTTTGATTTCTGCTCCTTCATTAAAATCCCTATTTCTGGCTCGCAGAATCCGTGAAACCACCCAGTATTTTCGATGAAGACTAGAATTCTCGAGCGCAATGCAGAAAAAAACTTGCCCGGAAATTTTCCTCTTAATTTATCAAATCAGATCACGTCGCCTCCAATTAGAAAACATCGGCAAACAATCAATTAAACCCCCAAAGACAGTTCAAACAATGAATCACAATTTCACCTAAAATTTCCTTGCGATAAGCAATGCATGAGCCAGGGCAAATGCAAATACTAACGCCAACTGAATCTCTCCTGGTAAAAGTTTTACAACATCAGGCTCTGCTTCTGACCAGATCAACCGAAAAAATAAAAAAAAATCACATGATCACCGGTTATGGAACTAAACGAAACGCGGCTTGATTGAACCTAAAATGTTGATAACGCCAATAAGTGTGTGCAGAAAGAATCAAATGAAACTGCAAAAAGAATGAGGATTATGATCACAATGTATTGTACAAAATGAAGTTTGTAAATCGCTTTTTGGGTAACTGCAAAATTCTTGGCGCGCGAATGGCCGTCCTAACAATGATTTTTGTTAGTTAGGATAATGGCGGCAACTCTGAGACACAGGTATCTTCTCTAAAGCTTATTTTTCTCTCCTTTTTCTTTAATTTTCTTGCAATTTCTAAAGTGGGAGTTTTGTGGAAATCTATTTTTTTTTTCTCAGCATTACTAATTTTATTGAGCAAACAAGAAAGTCTATAAGCCACAACATTACATTTTGAAATTGAAACTCATTTCCTCTATCTTTGGCAACATTATTCATTGTCAAAATAAGAAATTAATTAATTATCATGATAAAATAACTCCTCCACTTGCTTTTCCTGAACACACTTAGCTACATTATGTTAATTACTCTAATTAATGGAGCCATTAAAAAAGACTTACTCAATATTTGCTGATCAATATTTACTGGTTACTGCTTATAAGTCTTCTGATTTAATTGAGAAAACCCAATAAAAAATTGAAAATACTCGTGCCAGTTGCAAAGCCCATTTAGTTCCACTTGTACATCTACAAACCCATATCTAGTATGACATATTTTCTTAAATTTCATGCAATACAAAATACTCACATTAGTTCTTTTAACAAAAAAGAAAAATTAAGTAAATCCAGTAAAGTATAAGATAAATAATGCTCCATCCAAAAACATCGTTAATTGCATTCCTGTGCTTATGATTTCTAGCTATCTTTCAGTTTTATCAATAATTTGGGCAAAAAAACAATATACAAGTTTTGTGACTTCTGTGCTTTTTTTTTTTTTTTGGAGTCTGATGAGCCACATTTTCAAGTCTTCAACTTTCTGGGGCCTAAAGACTTCACGTGAGTAACGGGCCTGGTTCAGCCCATGTTTGACCTTATGATCACAAAAGCCCAAAATCAAATCAATGATCGTCTACAGATGCTGTGAACAGGTCAAATTCATTATATAATTTTATTTGCATTTTGATATTTTTTTCAATTTTAAAATATGATTGAAATAGAAAAAAAATTCGAAATGTTCAAATCAAATCTAAACAGACTAAATTACTGCTGTATTGTTCCATTTTTATCGATGTTCTCAAAGAAAACCAAGATTGCAGTGGTAAAAATAACGACTCTATGGTGAGAAACCGTATATTGAATGAAGCGAGAGTTTGCAACGCAGAAGGGGATCGTTCATGTTCGTGTGCTAGCTATTTGTTCCCTTGTTTGGCTTCACACATGTACACGTATTTAATCTCTTGTCACTAAGTTATGGCCATGGATGCATTCCATTGCCTAGATAGTTCCAAATGAACAAGAAAGCAGAGCAAGGGTTGTTCTTGTTTGGTAATATTTATCCCAACAACGTATGAGTGAAGCGAGAAGTAACAAGATAAAAGAACATGGGAGTCACAGTAACAGACAATAAATGTCGCGCGAAATGTCAGAAACATATCACGCCATTATATCACCCTCCTCGTCTTGTCTCAAATGGGTCAATCATTTTACGTCATGCTCAAATCCGGACCACACTCTGGGATTTTAACCAATCCTTAACATCACATCACCGCCCGTTGATGAAGAATACCCCAAAAAGATAAAATGGAATTTCAAAATGGAGATGCGGGGTATCGATCCCGGTACCTCTCGCATGCTAAGCGAGCGCTCTACCATCTGAGCTACATCCCCTACGATGGTCAGTTGGTTTCTTTTGTTTAATTTATTCCAATGTTCTCATCTCAAAATTTCAACCACAATGGGATGGGAAAGAGACAAGTGTCGAGCCCCTGTGAAGTGATCATGCAGAGGCGGTGGATAAAATAAAACGAGTGGGACGTTAAATGCCGTTTAGCTTTTTCCTTCAGGCAAAAGGTTGAGAGGCAAAAATTGTCGTTTAGCTGAGGAGAAATAGTGTTTGTTCCGAGGGGCACGAACAGCTTCTTGTTTTGTTTATTCAGTTCCATCGTCAAGGCTAGGACCCTATCATCTTCAAACTTCTTATATTAAATTATTAATTAACTAATTAATGTTTTCTCACCCATCCCAAAAAAAAAAAAAAAAGGATTGGTCAGTGTTCGCTTGCTATACAGTTCAATGAAAGGCCGATCATGTTATCCGCAATGAACAATGACAATTGAGACCCGGCCTTTGCAGGCAAAACCAGAGATAGAGCCATCTCTAGATCTAGCACGAGCGTGTTCTTGGGTTGATTAATTCCATTTATTATAATTAAATTAAAGCAAATTATTCTCTTATTCTTTGAGAAATAGTTAAATTATACGGTTGTTATTATTATTATTAAAAATTTATGCTCTTTTATTTAGAAATAATAAAATGAACTGAACTAGGTTTTATTATAATTACAATTACACATTAATTTACAATAATACTTATGTCATTGTTTTATGTCACATATAAAATAAAACCAGTCCAAGTAAGCATTTAATATATCTTTGAACGCTGAATAGCCTGAAAATAGTTTTTTTTTTAATTTATATCTCATTAGGTTTTAAATCGTTAAGCTATGATGAAAATATAAAAATGATTTTTTGATAATATTAAATTATTTATATGAAATATAAAAATTAATATTGACTGTATTAATGTGAATAATTAATGCATTTAATGAATTTTTTTTAAAACTATTTTAAATTATTTTTTAAGCGAACAATTAATAAACACGACTCATACAGCAAGGTGGCATTATTATTAGGAGCACTAGTGATTGGCTGCTAGCAAGATTTATCGTTCATCCTTTGTGACTGAATCAATTTTTTAATTAATATAATGAATATTTATTATTTCTTATAAATGTAATTAAACTAATGGTGACATGGTGAAGTGAAGACCCGCAGGTGCTCAAGCTTGCAGGCCTGCGAGAGTGCAAACTGCAAATGGATGTTGTAAACATTCTGTGTGGTTTCTTAAGAAGCATTAATAATTAATGGGTTTTTCACTTTGTCTCATACACAACATTGGTTTTGTTAAACTAATAATTAATAATAACAACACAATTAAGCCAAATTAAGTGGATAACCCTGTTGATCATGTGTAAGTCTACCAGACCAATAATCAACATAATAATTTATACTGGTTTTATTCCGGCAATTATGGAATCACTAAAATAATGGCACATTATTTGAAAACCCAGTTATGAAATTCAAAATCCCATTTAATCACTGAAGATGAGACCCGAAGTAAAATAATTTGAAAATTATGGAATGTTGATTACTAATAGGGAGGTTACATATATTTCGTACGGAAATCTGGTCTGACAATACAATGAGAGTTATAAATCATCACACCTAACTGATGTCTGTGGTGCATCCTAAGGGGAAAGGTGAATAACTCCTAATTAGTTAATAATTAGATTTGTGAGATGAATTGCTTTTCATACTTGAACCGCTATATTGCTTCCTAATCCAGCAACCTTTCTGTAAAGCAAAACTTCATCAGACAAAGAACCTACGTTTCAACCCCAACATAATAATTAATTAATTATCTTGTCCCTTAGACGATACTGTGCAAGATCGCCAGTTCACCACGAAAATTCCAACTTTATGTTTTTTTAAAGATAATTATTTAATCCTTATAATTTTAACTCAATTGAAACTCAATTCTTAAATTTTGATTTAGTACAACCCAATCTTTGTAATTTTTATTAATTTAAAATATTGGTACTTATATTTTAAAAAATAAAATTATAAAAAATAAAAGTATTATTAAAGCTTAAAGACTCTTGTTTTAAATGATTAAAATTATGGATTGGATTGTACTGAGTCAAAGTTTATGAAATAAGTTTTAGCTCAGTCAAGTTTTAAAGGTTGAGTTATACCAAATTAAAATTGAAAAATCGAATTACAATTAAATCAGTTATATAAAGATTAAATGATTAATTTTTCTCTATTTAATCACATATTATGAAAACATGACTATTTATATATAAAAGTCTTCATTTCCAGTTTCCAGATACTTATCAACATGTTTAAGAGGTGGTGCATCAAAAATTGTGGCTCCTGATATTTTACAAATCCAACTTCAAATCCGTAACTACTTTGACCAATTTCTAAGTTTGATACCAAGTCAATTTCTCGATTATCAAGTTGACTGATTTGACAGGATTTTCTTTAAGAAACGTTTATGAAAAAATCATAACAATTTTTTCCTTCAAAATTCAATCAATTTTTCTACCCACTAGAATTCTGTGATTCTTTCAGTTACACATCCACATCGGCGTGATGCTTTCCTAATAACATGTGCGTGTGTTTTTGCAAACTTGTGGCTTGCTGGGAGAAAAATAAACATTACTTGAGTCTTGAATCGATTGCCACTGATAATGATTTCCTTTCTTTGGTTTTTACCGATCGACACTAACATCACTAACATAGAATCGGGTGTCGTTCTCTATAAAAGATGATATGATTGAAAAGCTCTCTCATTTAGTTGCAGACTATGTCGATATTGGTTTATGGCGGCCTTGAGGATGGGCAGAAGGGATGTGGAATTCTATCATCTAATGTTTGCTGATGATTTTATGATTTTTTACTGTTTTGCGAAGCCAATGTGGCTCACATGGAGAATGTTTTGAAAAACACTGAGGATTTTCTGTGAAGTTTTATGCAGAGGTTGAATTTTGCTAAAAGCAATGTTAATTTCTCCAGGAATGTGGATGAGAGATGTCGTGAACAAATCTGAAGTGTCTGTGGTTTAAGCAACAACAGGAGCTAGGGCATTTTTTGGGTTTACATGTGGTGCAGGGCAGAAGAACGAGAGGGAAATTCCAATACCTATTGGATAAAATTTAGAGGAAATTGAGTGGCTGAAAAGTTGAGCTAACTCTCTTGGAGCCCAGTGGCATACAAATTCTAATTTTGTAGTTCTATTGATTAGTTACATTATTAAATTTTTATTATAATTTTTTTACCCTCCATTAAATGTTAGAGAAAAAATATGTTATTAAAATATATATATTTATTAAGAATAAAGTTGAGAACTTATTAAATTTTAAGATAAAGTAATGAGTTTTTAAATTTTTTTAATATTAATAAAATATATTAAAAATA